CCGATTCTTCATCCCCTGATTTTAGATATAACTTGTCGATTGTTTCCATTAGAGGGGTAGAGGGGTTACGGAGGACCTAAATACCAAAATACGAGGGAAAATTAAGAAATAGCCAATTTTGAGTAATGGAATGGACATTTTGAATAATGGAATGGACTGCCGCGACCCTTAAGCCCCAAATTACAGAAATACCTTATACGTCATTTGAAAGCTTATTAATAGAGGAATAAAAGGTATATAATCAATGTGTGCCACAATGCCCATTACAGGTGTTACGGAGGACCTAAATACGCGTGAAAATTAAGAAATAGACCATTTTGAATAATGGAATGGAATGGAGATTTTGAATAATGGAATGGACTGCTGCGACCCTTCAGCCCCTAGAGATACCTTATAAGTCATTCGAAATCTTAACAAAGGAGGAACAAAAGTTATATAATCAATGTGTGCCGCAATTTGAATAATGGAATGGACTGCTGCGACCCTTAATCTACTGATTACAGAGATACTCTGCCGTTCAAAAGCTTATTAATAGAAGGACTAAACATATATTGTAAATATTTGACTTAATATCGATTATTTGCTTACGGTTACTTTTATCCTACATTGTGAGTGTATTTTTACGGAAAACTATAACAGCATATAAGGACTATTGCTACTCTTCAGCTCAATTACAGATATGACTTTTGAGATATTCGATGCTTATTGATTGAACAAGAATAGTATAAAGTCAATATGTTACACAATACCGTTTCCGAAAGGATATAGTGAGGATCTGAATCCTACAAATATGCTTAAACAAAAATACCAGTAAAATAGTGCTCCCCACACTACCTTTTTTAAAGACATTTTTTGTATTTCTAGGGTTGAATGTGCTTGCAATTTAGTGAAAAAGAAGCATCAACGATTATTGCTAGTTTTTCACCTGCATAAATATGTTGAAAGAAATATTTTATATGTCGGAGAAACGAAAGGAAAGCTCAATAAATGTATGTGCGGCCACAGATCAGACATCAACAACAAAATATTAATGCAAGCGACATTTTTTACCAGCATTTCAATCAGCCTGATCATTCAATCCTTTCTATGCAAGTTTGCATCATCGAAAAAAATATACCACAGGACTAACAATTCTCATCTTGCAACACCTCTCCGTAGTCAAAAAGAAGACTATTGGATTCGACAATTGGGAACTGCGACACCATATGGTTGCAATGACGAAATTGATGGTATAGGTATTCAAATTAGTCCTTCCTGTACCTCGGTGAATGTGATGAACATTTTCAACTCTACTCCTCGACGTAGACGCAGTCAAGGCCATCGTCATTATACATCACCTACTCTCCATGATGTCTCTATTAATGACCTGATGCCATTTATACAAAAGCAGTTAGGATTCATCATATCTGCACGAAGCTTTATTCATTACCCCTTTCAAAACTTAATTCTCTGTACAACTTATGTTTGGAAAACACTGATACAAAAACCCATTCAAACCAATACAAGCTTACAGCTATCATCTTGGATATTGCAAGTCACAGACTTTTCAAACCAGTTCGCGATGGAAAAGATGAAAAGGAGAAAAGATCCTTTCTTAAACTTTCCTTCGTCGACAAAGGTCTCGATGCCATCAACTTAGGCAATATCCTTCATCATAAATCAGTTCACTCGAAAATACTTCCCTATTTTAAAGAATAGTCTGTACCTATCACTTCTTCTACCTATACCAAACCAATTGCAACTAAAATTTATAATTACCAACACGTGTGGCAGGATCTCAATATTGACGACTTCAAGTCTAAACCTCCTGATTGCACCTGTGCTAGTTCCCAATTCATATATAATCTGGCTGGCCACGTTATTACTGGTGACCTAAACATTGTAAATAACACTTCTCTGCGAAATGTGTTATCTAAAGGTCCGAAATATCGTGAGCCTAAATCCATCAATTGGAAACACAACTTCAAAATACTATGGATCCAGTAGAGGATTATGCCAGGCATTTGGTTAAATGCGAGAAAGAAGACGTACATTGTACATACTCTTTTCTAATAGATTAAAGCTGTGGGGTCGTTGATACAAATCAGAATTAAAAAACTGAATGGGTCTATGAATACCTATGCTACATCCATCTTTAAAGACCCAAATGTTGCAAAACACCTGTCATACCTCCATGACAAATACTTTGTTGTCCCCGCAGATAAACCCCAAACAACATGTAAGGCAATATCCTTCATCATAAATCAGTTCACTCGAAAATACTTCCCTATTTTAAAGAATAGTCTGTACCTATCACTTCTTCTACCTATACCAAACCAATTGCAACTAAAATTTTTAATTACCAACACGTGTGGCAGGATCTCAATATTGACGACTTCAAGTCTAAACCTCCTGATTTCACCTGTGCTAGTTCCCAATTCATATATAATCTGGCTGGCCACGTTATTACTGGTGACCTAAACATTGTAAATAACACTTCTCTGCGAAATGTGTTATCTAAAGGCCCGAAATATCGTGAGCCTAAATCCATCAATTGGAAACACAACTTCAAAATACTATGGATCCAGTAGAGGATTATGCCAGGCATTTGGTTAAATGCGAGAAAGAAGACGTACATTGTACATACTCTTTTCTAATAGATTAAAGCTGTGGGATCGTTGATACAAATCAGAATTAAAAAACTGAATGGGTCTATGAATACCTATGCTACATCAATCTTTAAAGACCCAAATGTTGCAAAACACCTGTCATACCTCCATGACAAATACTTTGTTGTCCCCGCAGATAAACCCCAAACAACATCGTTTGTGTGTGTAAATCACATTACATAAACTGCTTGATAAATGAATTAGGTATTGAGATTTCACTTCGAAACTCAACATATACCACAACACTTACCAAGGAGGAAATCCTGGATAATCATAGGTCTGTTTTATGTTTCTATAGAATTTCAACCATAGTGAAGAACTGCATATTCCTTCACTGTATTGGATACTTTAACTAGGTAAGTGTCCTTAGAAACAATGTTATATTGCTGGGTCTGCCAAGTGCTGCTCGAAACCTCTTTCTTAATTATTAACATGAATTTTATCAGCAATCAAAGCCGGGCTTCAAAGTTATTTCATTATTCATTATTCATTACTAAACGTTGAATAATGAATAATGAACTATTTCATTATTCATTATTGGATTTTGAATAATGAAAAATGAATAATGGACGTACTTCAGCGCGGTAGCAAATATATGCTTATGAAGGTAGATATATGTGTATGATAATATGTACCACTTTAACTACTCCAAACACGTATTTCGACAATTGGTTCTTTACAGTAATAATCGAGGTGTCACTATTTGAAAATCCGAAACATAATAAATATGAAGAAGAGCTGATACAACCTAATAAGGACCAAAAAGTAAAACCAAATCCGACAAGAAATCATACCGCTGAACGAAGAAGATGCATTCCTTTATCTTTAAGTATGTCATCAATTTCATCACACAAAAGTTAAATAAAACAATATACATATATTCCGAAGTACTAAGGGCGTGAGCTGTTTGTCCCCAAGAAGACTTACTGTCCTCATGCTGATGTATTAGCCCAGTGGTAGTAGTACCATAATTAGTACATATTTAATTGAACCAGATTCTTATTTCGACAATTACAGTATCTTCCTAGATACTCGAGGCAAAACTCTTTTAAAAATAGAAAACCCCAAATGAAATTTCCTTTCATACAACTAAACATACGCCACGTTCTGCTTGTGCCTGTCCCAATTTCTGAGCGTGTAATTTAGTGGTTGTCGTTTTTCGCTGTATATCATATACGTTTACATAAATCAGGCCCGTAGCTTCCTCGATTGAATTGTTTCACATTTGTGTTGGTCGTACGGTGATCTAAAAATATTAACTTCTACTTTATTTCTGTCTTTGGTGGAGAGTTGTCTCATTGGCAGTCAAACCCCATCTTCTAATAATTGTTTTACACACAAAGGATCATATACGATGATACAAAAATAGTTTCTGAATTATAGAATTTATAGAGAGAAAAAAACGGTCGTCTTAAAGTGACAATTTAGCATAAACATGAAAAATTTTAAAAATCTTAAAGTTTGTCAAAACAAAACAGATGAAAAATAAAAATATACGAACAAGATGAGTTTAAATCGTCTTGACAAATATTATGGCACAACAAATTTAATGGCCTTCGCCTATTTCAGTTCTTTTTAAAATATGATAAAACAATGCGTGTTTTTCCTAAAGGGTGATTCTTAGGAAAGTATTGGGAAGTTATAATGCACATTTACGTCTACGTCTACTTGATTAAGTAAAGGCGATCTTTTAACACACAAAGAACTCTTACTGTTTTATTACATTTTGAAGGCCATTTGTTTTACCGAAGTATTTGTCACTTCAATTCTTATATTATCTAAACCGTTTAATTTTATCTGTATCAATGCAAAAAGTTTTAGACTTTATATATATTTAGATATAAAACAATGTCTGAAAATGTGTTTCCTCAGTAGTTGCCACATATTGCAGAAAAACGACTTACCGTTTTCTGATAAATTCCAAGACGTCTAACGCAAAATATCAACTGCAATGCAAAAATAGACGAACATTCTCACAAAAATGTATCTTCCTTTGCATTTAAAATGTAAAAAGTTTATTTTGTTGGTATTTTGATTTGGGAATTTAGCAAAATGGATATTTTTCATAGTTTTAGTTACAAATGTATTAATAAGATTCCTATTACGATGTGATCTTAAACAAAACTTTTAACAACGGGACAATGAACATTCATTACTGTATCAATAGTTAACTCTCCTGAAACGGAATCAAATCCCCTTTAATCCATTGGGTATCAGTTGATCGAACAATATTTAGACACTGTGTTCTTATATTTGAGCGAAAGCGATAAAAAAAAAACAGCGAGATTCATCGATAGGCTCTCATATTAGTTTTTCTATGAAATTAATTACATATACAATATTCGCACAGTGTAGGAAAATATCAAATTTATTTGACAAGCTTTAGAAACAGTGAGAAAAGCGAGGCTCCTCCGAGCTTTTCTATGTCAATATCACAAGTGTACAGTTTTAAACTAACATTATTAATAATAAAAAAAATACTTCAAAATATGTACATTTAAAAAACAGGAACCAATGCATGTTCATCACCAGTCAATATCCGAAACTCAGTCAAACCTTTTTAATAAATCTAGTTAACAACTCAAATTAATCGCTCCCAAATTCATTCATTTCCAATTTTTTTTTTAAATGAATACTATGATGTTTTGCTTGAAGAAAATTCCAGTCCCTCATTAAAATGTACGTGTTTTCGTAACCAGGAGAGGATACTCCATTGTGTAAACTCGAAAGATTTTGTTTATAGGCCAAAAAAGCCGGATGGTGTTTAAGGCTAATATTAATTGAGTGTGCTACCATTCCAATATATGCATCTTCTATTGGAATAACTTTCATATACTCTACTGCAACTGCTAACATTCCAACAGTTTTTTCATTTGTCAAGATAGTTCCTCCAATTATATATGGCGGATACAGCTCAAATGGATAGTCCTCTGGTGAAACATAAGTTTTCGAACTTTTGTCTCTAATTGTTTCCGATCGATTAAGCAAATATCCCACCACTATCAAGTCTGCTGAGTTTATGTTTTGTGTTGCAACATCATACATATTTAGTGGATTAACAAATCGATCGTCATCAACAAAATGAATGAATTTTGATGTTATGTTTATTTTTGATAGCCATAGCAAAGCATAAATTGTTTTATATACAACATTTTGATACTTATCATTCACATTTAACTGAACAATATCTTTGTATTTTTCTGATTCAAAATCAACAAAATAGTCAATACCGTCAAGATATCCAATAATGAAAACAGTTTTTGATCGTAGTTTTGTCATGCCTCCCCATGTCCTACGTATAGCTTCGCGCTGGCCAAAGTTCAAAACGTAGGATTTCACAATAAATAACACTTCCAACGAATCACATTTGGAATTTCCACACAATAACTCTGAACGATTTATCAAGAATATGTCTCTGTCTTTGAAATTGTTTACTGGTTCCTTATTCAATATTTTCCTGTTATTTATGTCGAACACCAATTTTTCGACGGTAAGAATCGATAACTTTTTTATATGTTTTTTTTCATGTTTCTTTTGAAAGATCAGATAAACACAGCATATCCATAGTGTACAGAAAACAAACATTTGAAATCTGAAAAAAAAAGAATAATTGCTTGGAATAACAGTATAATCATAATGCTTCTTCTCAATCAATATACACCTTTCTATAATAAAATACATTCGTGTACATTCAAGATGAGTAAGATTTTGCAACAAACTCTTCTTATGTGTACTCCTAACTTAACATACGGCTATGGTATATGCCTTACAAATGCTCCTTATATGTACATTCTGTTCGGAACGGTTGAACATGACTGATCTTTTCTGACTGTAGATCTCTTATGATAAAATACAGAACACCAAGGAAAATTCAAATCGGAAAGTCCCTTATCAAATGGCAAAATCAAAAGCTCAAACACATCAAATGAATGGAAAACAACTGTCATATTCCTGACTTGGTACATGCATTTTCTTATGTAGAAAATGGTGGATTAAACCTGGCTTTATAGCTAACTAAACCTCTCACTTGTATGACAGTTACATAAAATTCCATTATATTGACAACAATGTGTGAACGAAACAAACAGACATGATAGGTAAAAATGTCAAACATAGAGGTACAGCGGTCAACATTGTGTTATAATCTTAATCACTATAACAACAAACAAATATGTCAACAAAGAAAAACAAAATGGCATATAGACACTCTATACACGTACCTAAGCAAAAATGAAAGACAAGAATACAAAAAATGGCCATAGCACAATAACACAATGGCGGGATGTATATATACCGAGCCACGTCAAAAGTATATTACCAAAACTGGACTAAAGGTTAAAAATATACAAAGACAATTAAAAAGAACACTTTAACACGTAATTAAGATGAAAAACAACGTCATTACCTTGAATTTATACTTTGAGACCATCATGTATTATTTGTGAAGTTATCTACAAGGTCTTGGTATCTTCCGATGAACTTTTCAGATAAAAAAGGACGAGACGTTCTTTGACATAATTCTGGTTCATCAACTTTCTGCTCAGTCACTGGTGACATATTATAAAGTCTGTGTAGCAGCTGCAAGCTCTTGAATACCGAATGAGTCGGGAAATGTATATCCCATATGAGGTGAAGTTGGTATATTGCTACTAAGGTGGGGGAAATTTATAATTTCAAAAAAAAAATCGTCTGGAACTGAGATGACCGTTTATGTCAAATTCGAGGCATAAGTCTAAAAACGAGGAGGAGAAAGCCGTGTCTGTTGTGCCTTTGATTTCTATTTCTGGAGGATATATTAATGGAACCCAATCAGAAAAGTTCGAATTGTTAATAGAAAGAATATCATCAATATATCTGAACGTGAAATTAAATGATCTGGCTTCTTTGATCTTTTTGTTTTTGACAAGTGTCTGCAGGAACTCCGACTCATATGAAAATAAGAAGAGGTCGGCAAAGAGATGCGCACAGTTCGTTCCCATAGGAATGCCGACAACTTGTTGAAAAAGTCTACCTCCAAATTCAACAAATATGCTGGCAATAAGAAACTCCAGCATACTGATCACTTGTTCCGTTGTGTAGCATGTTTTACTTTTTTGTTCACTATTAACAAGATATGTCGTATGGAATTCCAAAGCAATAAATTTATAGCGTATGCTACCATTTTTATATTGAAAAGCATTTTGGATTACTTCTTTAAGACGATTTTTCAATTTCGCATGGGGAATGGTGGGATACCAGGTATAAAAAATTAATTTCAGAGAAAGATAGAGATTTAAAATTATCCAGAAGTTCTTAAGAGTTTTTCAGAATCACGAGTCAAGAGTTTCACAGTATTTCTGGAGACTCTCTTTCACTGCGGACACAATTTTTGTCAATCTAATGGACAATTCCTTTGTAGAACATGCAGATGAGCCGTCGATGTACTGTTGTTTGTACGGAATTTTGTGAAGCTTAGATATCCAATACAAACAAGGTAAGTCACCGGATTTGCTGTTCAATGTAATGTTCATTGAAGCCATGAAGGACTTATGATTCGCCAAAATCTCATCCTTGTCAAATGATATGGCTTTTTTTAATGTGAGATTACCTGAGTGCAGTACGATTTACATAGAAAGACAATATTATTTGAAACTTTGTCTGCAGGAACAACAACGTATTTATCGTGAAGAGATGATAGATATTGCACAGCTTCTTTGTCTCTAATAACGGACTTTGGTCGATCAATCACACAGTTTTTCAACTAATGAATTCGACGTTTTATCAGAGACCTGATTGTTTTGACCCATTCTGACAAAGTGTCCAGTTCAGTCATTTCTCGTTTAGCTTATGCTCTGGCGTAGTCCTCAATTAAATCCATAATCATTTTTGAAGTTATGGTTCCAATTGATGTGTTGGGGTTCTCTGAACTTAGGACCATGATATATCACCTTTCGGAGATGTTCATGTTGAATTATGTTTAGATCCCCAGTAACAACATGGCCAGAGGGGCTGTATATATAATAAAAAAAACATACGGTGTATTCAAACACATTTGTTGAAGGCATCGTCCAAGAAGGAGTTATGTCATTAGTTCATCATTGTCAATTGAAAATATGGTAATCCATGTTAAATTGAATCTAAAAATTGTTCTACAGTTTTTGTTGATTAAGAAATATCGCCAGAACTTCCGCCTTAATTTGTAAAGTCGTTTGGCTCCGATCCAATTAGATTAAAGCAACAAGTATTCCACTTAAAATGCGATAATTCGAATTTAGGGAAAAACAAAAAGAAAAAAAACGTGAACATAAAGCTATCAAAGTGAACAAGAAATATAATTAAAAACAAAAACAGGATGAATTAAACTTAGTTAATAATTAAATTTTATGTTAGCAAGTATGTGAAATTTGTTCCTCAATTCACAGAACAATAGGTGTGCAAAATATTTCCTGCATTATTTAAAAAGGTAACAGTTTAAAATAACCAAATGAACCTTTGTAAAATAAGAGGTTTCTGTTCTTTTTCAAAGTGTCCTTGCTAGCAACGCAGGAGAAATTTATTGTACTTTTTGCAGTATAATGTGGTTTTAAGAGAGAGGCGAAAGATACTAAAGGGATACTCAAACTCATAAGTCGAAATAACTGACAACGGCAGGGAAATGAAATATCACAAGAGTTTAAATTATAACAAACTAAATAGAAATATCTGGCTGCAGACAGCATTATATTTTATGTCAGCAAATATGTGAAGTTAAAAAAAAAAGAATAAAAAACAAGCCAGAATTTTTTCAAAGCTAATAAATTAATACTAGAATCCGTACATAACATTATATTACGAACATTTGTTTTACAGTGGTACAATTATAAACAAATTATTGATAACACTAAACAAAAATGCTCACTCTTTTGAAGGAGTTTTAAAAAAAAACTACACCCATATTTGTATTAAAACCCGGCTTGATTAGTATCAAAAAGAGGTGAAAGATACTAAGTGTTAAAGAAAACTCATTAGTCGAAATGATACTGATAACGGCATGACAAAAAACGATAATCAGCGAAAAGATAAACACGAAACCAACCTAGAATTGAAAGTGATTTCATGTGCTTCAGACGGTAAACATATCCTGCTCCGCTAGCCTCCTCGTCGTGTTGCTCATAGTAACTACTAATTCGATGACAAAACTTACGGAAGAGGCAACTACAGTTGATGATTGTATTTTAACTCATGACATTCCGCTTTGTAGATGATGTTCTCACACCTAATAATTCAAAGTTTATAGGCTATGTTAAACGCATCTATTCCATCAAACATGAAATAAAGGATACAACAGATACAGGTAAATCTGCTTTATATCTTGACTTAAATCTACACATTTACATTGAGGTTCGGTTGAGAACAAAACTTTACGACATAAGAGATGAGCCTAGTTTTGTTTGAAAAGGGTTGTGTTGCTCTTACGCTAGTTTGTAGTGTTGTTCTTTGTCCTTTTTTATTACTCGAATGTCTGTGATGTTTATATCGGTAACTGTCTTGTCTATACTTTGTCATGAAAAACTTGTTTGAAATTCAGGTGAAGAACTAAATGACATATAACTATAACTTATAAATTCATTTGGAAGTGACAGAAATAACAAAATCTATACCCTATATAGAATATTGGATCTTGTTATCATATCTGAACATGAGTTCATGTTTCGTATAATTTTAATATTATCCACATTTTGCTATATTCATGGGTTTGCTTTTTTATTTGATTTGTTAAATAGGAAATAATAGTAGTATTCCCGGAAAGTCTGATGAAAAAGAACAAAATGAACATAAAACACAGAATATATTTCGTGTTGAATCATTATCGTTACAAACCGAATGACGTATACTATTATGTCTTTATTGTTAAAGCCAATAAACGTTAATTTTTATTTTGAGTTAATGAACCAATTACCAGGGTAAACTCAGGTTCATTACCGAACACATTCATTTGAGTTGTTCCAAACAACATATTCATTTCGTCTTACATACCTCTATCCTTAAAACGTAATAAATTAATTCAATTCATCGCTTTCTTTAACACATCAGGTTTTATCATATATTTGTCTGAATATGCTCAAAATCATTTCCGAACATTAATAATGTGTTTAACTACATAATCCAGAAACATTTGTTAACCATTTTACTGATTGAAACTAATCTACAATTGCATAATATGAACCAATTTCATTCGTGACTCTAACGACCCAATTTCTACTGTCCGACCTATCAGTAGCAGCAGTCAACATTTTGTAACATAGGCTGACGGATCGTTCCGATGACGAAAACTGAAGCGATTTATGCATGATTGGTGACTGCTGATGAAATGTTATAATATGAACGTTGGAGTATACTTTTTGTAATTTTACACCACAATTTTCTTCACCAATTTCTTCATGTGCCAGATATATGGCCGGTCTGAAATAAAATGGTCTATATTTTCAGGAAGCTTTATTCACTACTCTTTGTCATAAAAATCATTCGAAAAGTAAATGATTTGTTTTTACTAAATATGAAATGAATAAATATTGATATGGAATAAGACTAATCGTGGCTTGACAAAAACATTGTGACAATACCAACGGCTATCAAAAACCATAACGAAGAAAGCTACAGTACAGGGGCTAAAAGAATAATAACCAAAACAAAAAATACACAGAAAATAAAAGATTTAGAAAAACCAACCAAAAGAAGGAAAGAATCAAGTGATCGCTCGATAAAGTAGTTCATTCTGGAAGACTTCAAATATACCATAATTCGCTTCTCCATTAAATTTCTTTTAAGAAGAAGAGTCGGTTCCCATAAAAAAAAACAAAGTTATAGATCGAAATAGATATGATGTCAATCATGTGAATAGTCCAGCATGGGATCTATCCAGAATCAAAGAAGAATGTTTTGTAAATCATGTGCAGCATGCGCATTATGGTGAAAAGAATTTATTTCCAAAAATATCTGTAGCCCAGTTCGTAAAAGAATGAGGAGAATAAGAAAAAGAAGAGAGTACTGCTAAAAAGTATATACTCACAATTGTGCATTCTGCAATCTCGTCATAATGATTGAATCTTCTCTCAAATAAACTTTAAAAATCCCAATCCCTTGAATATAATGTTAATATACATTTCAGGAAAGTGCATACTATCTTTCAATCAACATTATACTTAATCTGTGATTTCACCTCATTAAAGGGTTTCGAATTTTTAACGTAGCTATTTATATCAATAAAATTAACATCATGACTATTCCCATTAGACTTATGTTTAGCTGCATATTTTAAACTACCAACGAAAACAATTAAGATAAGCTAATTCAACTATTTATCAGTTTCCCAAAGAAACATAATCTATTACGTTCCGATGCTATCAATTCGCATTTAATCATTATTTCATAACCAGGTTAGGATAAAAACAACTTTACAAACCCATAAATATTTTCATTCTTCTTTTAAAAAAAAACATAATATAAAGTTTCTGCACCAACAATTTCAGTAGATATATAGATAAATGTAAATATATCGATAGATATTAAACAAAATTGAAAGATATTTTTATAGACTCTCTCGTATAAAGAGTTTGCCCGATTTCAATGTCTTGCATTCTCGAGTATATGAGGTGTGTCAAATTTCCAAGTCGTCGATGCATAAAATTTTAAATATTTTCATATTTTCGATTTTCTTATTTTGAATCATTTAAAATGAACCGATTGATTGGTTTGTTCTCCTCTAGAGTTTTACCTTTGAAGGAAGACGTTTAATTTTCAAATTGCAGTTTGCTGTTTCATACCGATTTTGTTGATACATTATTTTAATTTATTCGCTATTTAACAAAGTTGTTACAATGGTTTTTATTTCATGAGATGTATTATCATGCTATCGTGCTGAACAAACGTGATTAAGCTCTATCTGTTAACGGTCTTAGTGTTCTTAACTGTACAACATCTAGTTGTTTGATTCTTTTAATCGTGTAGGCTTTTCGAACAAATGTGTTTCTCTAAGAGTTATTTGTGCCCTATCTGTTAACCTAACTCCTATTCTAAATGGAAGGTGTGTTTTGTTTTTGACGGATGACAAGTCTGAAAAGTGTAATACTACTAAACTACCTTTCCTACTAACAAATGTACTTCATATACTTGCTATCTTTACAAATCTAATTATCAAGTATTTCAATAAAATCTATAGATTAGGGTTGAAATGGTTGTGATATTGAACACAATCATATCCTATACACTTTATCATATACTAAAAAAGACGTTTTGCTACTTGACATGACGTAATACAGATGTTGGTATCGATGCCATCAAAATGGCTTACACAGAACGATTCTCATCGATTCTACTAAACATTAAATGTTCTTGTAATATCAGAAAGAATCTAATACATGTATTATTCAAAAAACTTCATATGGCTTATAATAACATAATTTAATCAAATTAGAATAATGTTCGTTTATGAATTATGAAATATGTGTAATGGGAGATTTACAAATCAATTTGTCCTACATTTCTAGTGATGTGCTACTATGAGCATGCAATTGTAAAAATTTGTGCTTTTTAAAAGTTCACTTGGAAAACCAAGCAAAAAAGACATTGCAAACTTAAGAAAAAGTGTATAAAAAGATAAGTATAGGATGAAAATGATAAATATTTTTCAGATCTCAACAATCTCTCTTATTTAAATCTCGATTAGTACATAAATCAAACGTTCATAAAAGATTATTATATAAAGCAACAATATATTAAAAAGACTTAGTATCAAAAATAACAATACAATATATAATAAAAATACAAAATATATATCATTAATATAAATAAGAAGATGTGGTATGAGTGCCAATGAGACAACTCTCCATCCAAGTCACAATGTATAAAAAAACCAACGGTCTAATCTATATGAAAATCGAGAAACGAGAAATACCTATGAACCACACCAACAAACGACAACCACTCAACAACAGGCTCCTGACTTAGGACAGGTGCATACAAATGTAGCGGGTTCAAACGTTTTAACAGGTGCCAACCTTCACCCTAACCTGAGACAGTAGTGTAACATTACAACATAAAAAGACACACTATAAAATATTAATTGAAATGGCTTAAATATTTAAGAATGTGCACTGTAAATTATAGCAAACTCAAAATGTCTATAAAAAAACACACAAAAAGTCCACAAATACACTAGATAGAAAACTAAAGACTGCTACAGGAACCCGAGAAAAACCAGGTGAGATCTCCAATACAACAGATATGATAGCAGATCCTGTCCAACATGTGGCACCCGCATGTTGTTTGTTGTATCTTACCTGCAGGTATGATATCAAGCCGTCCATCACTTCATAGAAGATTTCAAACTGCAACTTCGTAGGCTGTACAGGGAGATACACTATACAGAAAAACAAAAGAAACAGTTAAATCAGCTTCAGATCATAAATAAGTGCAATGATTATTATCTCAAATAATGACCAAAAATTCCAAAAGGTTTAGTCAAATGCAGCAAAGGTAATCTATTCATGTTGAAGAAAATCCTTAGTTTTTCAAAGAATTCAAAGTTTTGAAAACAGTTTATAATTACAACTGATTTTTTGAGTATCTATTTATCTCGTGCTATTCCATAACTATCTTAGGTTAAGGATTAGGTTGAGTGCTTACCGTTTTGTACCTGTTCCATTCAAGATTCCAGTGGTTGTCGTTGGTTGCTGTCTGCAATAACTGTATTTGTATTTCTTGTCTAACGATAAACGAAGTCTTTGGTTTTCTATATTGAATTGTTTCACATTGTGTTTCCGTGGCCATATATAGCTTACTATACGTTATGGGTTTTGCTTTTTTTTTTTGCAAGCCGTATAGTGATTGACCTGTAGTTGTGTATATTCTTGTCCTTTTGTTTCTGGTGATATAGAAAAAAAACATGTATTTATCTTTTTAGCCTCTCTGCCTGTGCAAGTCGGTTTCTTGTAGGAATGAAAAGAGGTTGCATTCAGGGTTATCAATACTAGTTCTAACATTAAAATTTTTTCATAAGAGCATAATAAGTATAATAAAAATAATAATGATAAGCGAAAAACAAGAAGAAAAATAAGAAACAAATACGAACTAATTAACACTAATTAATACATCTTCCATCTTTAGTAAATAAAAAAGTATAACAAAAATACCGAATTCCAAGGCAAATTCAAAAAGGGGAAGTCCATAAAAACTTACAAAATCAAACGCTATCAATCAACGGAAAAAAAACTGCCATGTTCCTGACTTGGTACAGGCATTTTCCAACAAAAAAATTGAAGCAATACCATCATACTTTTGTCAGAGATGACTTGATTTTGCCAGATTTAGAAAAAACCAAATGAATAGGCCCGAGAACACAGTTATTTCGTAGTGCATTTCTTTTAGACAATAAATTCAAATTAAAAAAATCGCACCTGCTATATCTCAAAAAGATTTTTACAGTGTAGTGTACTACTATTGATACAAATAATATCAAAATAATAGAAACTTCTACCAGCTCTAACTCAAAATATTGACAATTCTGTGTTAAGAGGGGCTAAAATTCATTTGACAGCTTCAGACATTCTAATTTTTGACCTTTTTTCACTGGACCAAATCACTACTTAACATAAAGATTCAGCACCCAAATTTTTTTAACATGTAATTTCATCCCCTTACTTAATATTTCATGCATAAAATATTAAGAAATAAATTGGGAAAGTGTATCAAAAAAAAATGCAAGTTATACACTGTTCACACTGGGGAATATCAACGAAAACCAATGGACGATAACTGTGTCCTTGGACCAATAGTTCAATCTATTTTTGTATTCATTTGTTCATGAATTATCCACGTACACCCTAAGGATCAATGGCAAAAGAAAACAAATAAAACTAATGTTAAAGTCATTGTTTACACATGACTATACAGTCATCATTTCTTAATATACAATAAAGTAATAATGCATATGTGGAGTTTGCATAATTTTAGATATTTACAATGCATCATTTGATGAGAAAATCGTGCCTTCAGAATTCAAACAGGCTCTTGTGAGACCTCTTTTGAAAAAAATCGGACTTGATTCCGAAATTTACAAAAACTACAGACCCGTATCCAATTTACCTTTTTTCAAAAGTTCTAGAAAAGGTAGTTGATAAGAGACTAGATGTTCATTTGGACTCTAACTCATTGTGTGATCCACTTAAGTCCGCATACAGACCACGTCATTCAACTGAAACTGCATTAGCTACAGTATACACGATATAAATGCGGCTCTAGATAAATAGTCATCAGCGGTATTGGTGCTCTTGGACCTTTCCGCTGCATTCGGTGTCATAGATCACATAATTATTCTGGAACGTCTGTCATTTGCGTGTGGCATAACTGGTTGCGCTCTTGAGTGGATTAAGTCGTATTTGACGGATAGACATCAGCGTGTAGCGATTGAAACAACTACATCGAGGAAATGTCATCTTACATTCGGTGTTCCACAAGGTTCCGTGCTAGGCCCGAAATTGTACTGTCTTTTCTCGAAGCCAATAGGTGAAATATGCCGTCGTCATGGTATGACATATCACTGCTATGCGGACGATACACAAGTATACATGGTCATCAAGCCGCTAGACAACTGGGAGAATTACTTTTCAAAACTCGAACTGTGTCTTTCTGATATTAGTTCATGGATGTCAAAAAATATGTTAAAACTTAATCAAGATAAAACCGAACTTATCATATTCACACCGAAACATCTGAAGGCAAGTGTACCAAATCTCCAACTCAAAGTCGGCAATACTGTGATAAGTAGTGTATCCTGCGTGAAAAACCTAGGAGTATATTTTGATAAACATCTTACGATGGAACGGCAAGTTTCTGCCAACAACTACTTACCGTTCCAAAAGTGCGGACGAAGACGTACGGCGAAAGACAATTTGACACGGGCATAGCGAAAGAGTTGTGATATATAAACAGCGTAAGATGGTGCCAAAGGAACATCACCATCCAAAAAGGGAAAATTAACAATAGGGAACGAAAAATCGTCCCTTTTGTCGTAAATTTTAGTGTAGAGTTTCCCGTGTACAACTGAAATATTTAAATCTAGGAAACGACAGTTATTACCGTTTATATTTTTTGTTTTGTATCTACTTTTAATGCAACATTTTGTATTCCTTTTGAGGGTTTTTGGCTGTTTCGCATGATTTTAGAAAGATTGTTACATTTTATTATTTTGTTTTTACATGTATTTCCGTATTGACCTTTTTTATGGTAGGCATTTTTGTTGTGTTTTTAGTTCAGTATTTGCATCTGATATAGTGTATGTTTTGTGTTTTTCTCTTTAATTTGTTTTAATTACCTTGCTGCATGTACAGCGCCTTAGAGTAATTTTTTTTTTCTTTAGGGCGCTTTATTAATTTTCATTATTATTATTATTAATATTTGACGATATGGACAGAAGGTTGATCTTGACATTCTAAACATTTCTGCCCCTGTCAGATTTTCTCTATCTGTAACGGTTTTCAAGACAATACACAAACATAATGTACACTTTACTACTACATGTATGTTCTTTTTTAAGCCATGTAGGCCATGTCGATTGGAAGAAGGATAATCTGAATCATGTTATAAAATTATGCAAATCTATATATTTTGCACAACTGCTTACACAATATAATCGGTGTCCTAGAATAATAGATATTTTTTTAGATCTAAATACAAATGAAAATATACATTTCATACATATGGACATTAAGGGTAAGTTTCAAAAGAATACAATTATATAACATTCATGACCACATCTCCTTTATTTCTATATTCAAATTACCAAATCTGATTAAACAGTGTTGAATATCATATTGTCTTTATAACTTAATTTTTCATGAATTTCAAAGTCCAAAGCATGTAATGTCGGCAAAAATCAGCGAAGCGGAACCAAACATAAAGTCAAGTACAAGAACATGTAATTATTGAAAAAATGTGAAACAATATATGCCTATATAGATAAATCCAAATTTTTTTATAGATCTACAAATGTAAGATTGAATTCATTAAAAATCCATATAGTCCCCCTAAAATGCAAAACTGTCCACTAAAATACATAATGAGATATACCCTTCAAAATATCCAGATTGTGTATATGATCATTATTATAGTGTTTTTTTCATAATCATTATAAATGTTTAAAAACCTAGGCTAAATTAAAAAAAAAATGTGTGTCTTTAGGTACTCCGTACAGACACTGTTTTTTAAATCTCCAAATTCATACACAGTATACATGTACCCTAAAGTTTTTATTACCACTTTAGGCAGTGCATTGATGATGATGATGATGATGATGATGATGATGGTGATGGATGGCTGCTTAACGTCCAGTGGCAAATTAATATGCATATTCAAGACGTGAATATGTAAATGCAATATGAATAGTTACCATGCTTTGTACTAGACTGACACGCTGAGCCGGATTTTTAACGTGCTAGTTCACAGGGTAACAATTCGCAGGAATACATGTCACCTTACCCGGTCACATTATTCTGCTTCCGAGCCGACCAGTCTGTGCTCTTACTCTTTAATGCCGCGTGCTTAGCGGAGAAGCAGCAAATACCAATTTTAAAGTCTTTGGTTTCACCTGGCCGGGGATCGAACCCACGACCTCCCGCACTCGAGGCGAACACGCCACCACGAGACCACCGAGGCAGTTACAGTGAATTGAGATGAAAATATAATTGAAATAAATGAAGGAAAAGCCGATTAAACAATATATTTCACCCATTATTCGCATAAACATAAACATTGAAAATGTGAACATGATGTGAACATGATTATATGAAAATGAAAGAGGACACTGATTAGCTTCTAGACTATTAGACTATAGAAACGTTTACTCCCCCACCACCACCACAGACACACACACGCATACATTCTTCAGTCTTTTCCTAGATTGTACGTCAGTAATTCTGTGTCTTTCAACACATATTTTGGTAAAACTGTGACTAAATGCTAGTTATCCTCTTCCCAAGTTAAAACTTAAAATGCTTATTGCATAACACTATACACAGTTTATCATATTTAAGTTGGTACATCAAATGCCAGGGCAATTTGAGGTACTAAATGAGTAATACTCAGTCTGGATGAAATTGTGTACGTAGACTTCTTTCAAATTCTTACCAATTGTACTTTTGTTTAAATAATAAATGCCCCAGTTTAATTTCTCTTCTCCGCTTCAACGCTATTGCATGCATGGCAACTACTGCGTGTTAAAAACAGATAACCAAATGCTCTCTGGAGACCATATTTCCGTTGACCAACAGTATCTATCACTACGAGAGGACAGTTACACATCTTGCAGAGTACTTCAACTTCTTATCGAATTTCTTTCTAGCTGCTGTCGAGAGATGGATCACTTGGTTTGTACACTGATGTACCGTCGTCAAGTTCACAAGAACTTTTGTTCTCTTGAAAATTCGTGAGTTTACCATACGTGTGGTCGTCTGGACTGTCTATATTTATTTTTATCATCCTTTATGAACTTACTGAAGTTTATATTCTTGATCAATTTTCCATTCTTCCGAAAATGTTTCAAATCCGATAATGTATATCAACACCACAAGACACTAGCATTGTTACCATGACACAGATATGGTAACGAAAAATCCAGATCTTGAATTTGTAAAACACGTCGATTTATATTTTTCGTAGGCGGTTGTTTGCGTATGTGGAAATTACTAAAATCATTGCAAAACTTTTTAGAAACTCAAACAAGGATACCAAGCTTATAACAGGGTCATTAAAGTTCTAAACAAAAATAACAAGTTCGAAGTTGATTTAATGGTGAAGTTAAAGAAAGATGACAAGTTGTTGAAAGATATTTATTTTAGCAATAAGTATCATATTGTATATTTTTATCATTATCGACACAGTCTAAATGTTAGAGTTAAATAGTTGGTAATTCTTCTTTCATATTTAAACTGACTTAAAAATTCAAAATCACAATTCATTTTGTTTGGCGCATTCAATAATCGATTGTATTTTATTGAACACCCGGAACCAAGTGTTGCCGCTCGTGTAATTTAAACAATACATGATGGAAACCAATACGCGACTAAACAACAAAAGAAATGATAATATAACTGAATTTATTCATTTAATTGTTTGTTACATTTAATTCATTTGAAGACAAACATCAAATATTTGTTACACGGTCACCTGGTAAAGTTGAATGGCAAAAATGTTCATTGTATCATAGGTCAAACTTATTTGTTCAGTGTATGTTCACTGGTGTTAAAATGTCCTTTGATTGAGTTAAGCTATTTCAGTTGATATTTTATAGTGTGTCTTTCTATGTTGTGATGTTACACTATTGTTTCAGGAAAAAGGGTGAAGGTTTGGTACCATTAAAACGTTTAAACCCGCTGCATTTGTTTGCACCTGTCCTAAGTCAGGAATCTCATGTTCAGTAGTTGTCGTTTGTTGATGTGGTTCATAAGTGTTTCTCGTTTCTTGTTTTTTATATAGATTAGACCGTTGGTTTTCCCCTTTAAATGGTTTTACACTAGTAATTTTTTGGGGCCCTTTATAGCTTACTGTTCGGTGTGAGCGAAGGCTCCGTGTTGAAGACCGTACTTTCACCTATAATGGTTTACTTTTATAAATTTTGACTTGGATGGAGAGTTGTCTCATTGGCACTCATACCACATCTTATTATATCTATATAATGTTCAATAATGAAGTGTCAATTTGATGTAGGGGGCGGCAGTTTAAGTAGCATAAATCCATGTGGAATGCGATCACGTGTCTTGATAGAGGTTTCCCGATTTACTTGTGAATATAATTGATGTATTATACACCTAATGTCAACGCATGTTTTATGAATGATAATCAGAAGAATTTAGAAGGTTTTAGTTGCAGCTTGGTATTAATTTCACGTGGATATTTTTCGTATTTATAGCAAAAAAATATTGTGTGTACTCGATTATGCTCTCAGGCAACCGTTGCATGTAACCGTTGCACGACCGGTAATTTAGATTTATTTCCCCTGAAATTGCAAAGGCAAAAAGAAGCCAAAATACAAAGCACATTTATAATCTATCTGATTTTTGCCTGTAATATTATTAATACAATATAGAATAAATGGATTGGAATTTTTTTGTGTAGGCTTTTAGAAAACTTAAAAATATAATAGCCATTTTAACATACAACATTAACCTCATTACTAGTGTATTAATGATGAAATAATCAAAATTCACCTGTGCGAAGAGTCTCAACATGGTCCATAATTATTGTACACATTATAACATTTTTTTTTTAGTATCATTCTTACAAAAATCATCTAACTCATGAATGAGCAGGTGTGGATTCAGGATTTTGAAAAGGGGGAAGTGTCTAGCAAGGCAACGTTTGGGGGAATACTATAGCAAAAAGTCTTTGCATTCATCAAAGATGAAGCTCTATAAGGGGAGACTCGGGTCCCCTGGGCCCCAAAAATCCGTCTCTGATGAGAGAGTTTCTTGACATCGTCGTTATCATCAGTAATCAATATATCCATTAACATGTACATTGTAACAAGACATCGTATCTTCTAAACAATCTAGTTCAGTTAGATGTAAAAAATGAGAACTGAAAACAAGACTATTTTTTTCAAATCCTGTTATTCATGACAAATCATTGAAGCGCAAAAGGAAAGGTATTTTGAAACGAAACGAAAATTTGTGTGCGTAAAATATGTTTATATGCTACTAAACACGAGTTTTACTGTCCTTGTTCAGACAACGAAAATATCGTACACTCAGAGTTGGTTTTCCAGGAATCTGTAAACCTGGATTTCGGTTCTGCAACTAAGAGAAATGTCAAAACTAACAATTTTCTGGTCAATCGAAAACAGTTTGATTAATAAAATACCGTGCATAAAGATGATGCCATGAATATTACAACATAATTAATATTTCCTAGGATCATAAGAAAGAAAAGTCGCCGGTGTGATTAAGTTAACTTCTATGTCATTTGGTCTCTGGCGGAGAGTTGTCTCATTGGCAGTCATACCACATCTTCTGATTTTTATATTTACATAATGAAAATGATTTCATTCGTTTTATTGTCAGATTTCTACTTTTTCAAATTAGTATAGGTTACGTTACATTAGAACAATAATAGTAGCATGGAAAAAAAGAATGAAACAACTTGAAAACATGATAACAAATTGAAATACATTCATAACAAATTACTCGCTGTATTAATACTGGATTTTTTTTTACAGACCAATACAGACTATTGAACGACGCCTTTTGTTATGAGTAATTGCAACTGTTAGCGAAAGTTAAAATGGTAGTACGAAGATTGAAAATTAGAAAATTGTAAGTAAACAGGAAGATAGCTTTTTTTTATCTATAAAGTTGTCATCATCTATTGGTCAGGTATTCTAGATATATATGCCTCTTTTTAAACATGTTGCGCTTATCAGTACTTAACATGTGTCAAAGGAAGGCAAATACTGGAGGGTAGTAATGGGGGTACCTTCTTCACGAATAACGGTAAAAAATCTTACCAAATGACGTTATCGGTAATTTTCGTTGCATGAAGATAAAATGTACATTTTCTTTATGACGATAAAAAAATCGACTGCTTTTGACGAATCACGTTTAATTCTTTTAAAAAATAACGGTGACGGTAATTATTTTAGACCTCTAACGAATCACGATAAGGATACTTTGACGAATCACGAAAACATTTTAACCAATTTGACGCTAACGGCAGCCGAAAATGACCGTTTGACGCCTGACGGTAAAGGACATTTCTACCATCATACTGTTTCTAATTACAGATTCATAAATTGATTAAACAATTGATTTCAACAAATTTAACAATGATGATCCTTTGAATAAAATTTTTGAAAATAAATGAAACCTGTATCAGGTTTCGACGAGTTTAAGAACAGGGTAAGAGGTCAACAGAAGTTTAGTACGAGCAGTTGAACCCCAAAACAAATAATGATTTCATACCATACATACAGGACATGATACCTTAATGCCGTTCGTAATTCATTTTATCTGAGACGCAGAAAAACATTATGCTAAATCAGGGACGTTCATATCAAGACCTCTAGCTGTTAACTTCTATGTCATTTGTCCTCTGGTGGAGAGTTGTCTAATTGTCAATTATACACAATCTTCTTTTTGTTATATCTAGCAAAGTGCGGTCTTGATAAAACCGATAAAGTTTTTAGTCCAATCATCTAATCACAATTTCTAAGCAAATCCCACCAAAACACCAATTGAGTATCATCTTAATTATGTTGTGATGTTACGCTATTGTTTCAGGTAGGGTGAAGGTTGGCGCCTATTTAAACGTTTAAACCCGCTGCATTTATTTGCACCTGTCCTAAGTCAGGAACCTGATGTTCAGTGGTTGTCGTTTGTTGATGTGGTTCATGAGTGTTTCTCGTTTCTCGTTTTTTATATAGATTAGACCGTTGGTTTTCCTGTTTGAATGGTTTTACACTAGTCATTTTTGGGACCCTTTATAGCTTGCTGTTCGGTGTGAGCCAAGGCTCCGTGTTGAAGGCCGTACTTTGACCTATAATGGTTTACTTTTACAAATTGTGACTTGGATGGAGAGTTGTCTCATTGGCACTCATACCACATCTTCTTATATCTATTAGAATAGTTTCGTCCACCATAATCTCTATTTTTGTCGTAACAACCTCCGTATATGCTATCGTCCAAAAAAATGGTCAATATTGCATGAGACGCAAAAACAAAATCAAGAAAGAAATAATTTGATAGATATTTTTCAAGGAGAATTAAGATAAAAGGGTTGGGTTGTTATCTACACTAGCAATATTTATTAACACGAGCAGTATTTTCAATCGAAGTCTGTACGGTAAACATTACCTGAATCTTTTAACGAAAAACTACACCTGTCATTTTTAAAACGTTCACCAAACTAATTGCATCCGAGATTTCTAATGATTATTCTATATGTTAGTCATTGTATTCCGGGGTTTGTTTTTTTTTTTTTTTTTTTTTTTACGTAAACAATGAACAACGAACAGATTAGAAAGCTTTTAACCAAAGGTCCGTATGAAATACCCAATGGATTGTGAACCCATACTAAATAGTATTGCTGATCATTGTTATATATATATACACCTTCAAGGTACTACAATCTGTCGATGCCTATATTTTGTTATTGCACAAGGTCATGTTTTTTCTCTGACTGTTAATGACGTCTTTACACTAAATCCATTGGATGTTGGATGTGTACTGATTAGATACATGATTTCTTTTATTAGTTGTTATTTGCTTTGAACTAGCTGTCAGTAACTTCGAGTACTCTCATATCTGTACTTTGAGTCTTTTTTGTTGTTAGGGATGTATAAGTACCCTGCCACGTCCGGTCTGTGTTTTTGTTAGATGTTTTTCTGCTTTGTATTGATCTGATGAGTTAAGCCATTCTCAACTGATTTTTATAGATTGTTCTTATGTTGTGCTATAATACCACTGTCCCAGGTTAGAGGAGGGTTTGGCGCCAACAAACTCGTTTAACCCCGCCACATTCTGTATGTGCCTGTCCTATGCCAAGACCCTGTTATTCGGTGGTTGTCGTTTGTTACTGTATATCATATTTGTGTTTCATTCATTATTTTTTACATAAATCAGGCCGTTAGTTTTCTCGTTTAAATTGTTTTACATTTGTCATTTCGGGGTCATTTTATAAATGACTATGTGGTATGGGTTTTGTTCAATGTCGGAGGACGTACGGTGACCTATAGTTGTTAACGTCTATGTCATTTGATCTCTGGTGGAGAGTTGTCTCATTGGCTATCTAACCACATCTTATTATTTTATATGGTGTATTTATATTGAAAATTTGAAATTTGAATTCAAAACAAGATTTCACAAGATTATGTAACTATTAAACAATAATGATATGCATTTAAAAAAAACCACACACATCTTTGAGTGAAAGACAGAATCCAACTGATTAAAAGTCACATTGACCTCTAACATCGACTACACACAAAGCAAGTTCATCATGGAAACATCTAAAAATATTCGAAAGAGCCCGTATTTAATCGCTTCGAATATTGAACGTACTGGACATAATATTTTATTATATTGAGAAAACACACATATTTTCAACCATAAGTGAACCATTTTTTCAGGTTAAGAAAACAGTTTCTTGTGTGAAATAATCAGTTTATGAAAGTTTACTCAATCAAGTTCGTTGCTAGGACGCCAATTCATGAGGGCGTGATAAACTGTCACTAGTGGCCAATTAGCTTTTCTATTGTACAAAGTATGACGCGCAGTGATGCTTCAACAGTATAAATGACATTGTGTTTGATTTATGACAGTTTTAGAACACCAAAAGTCTATTTACCGTATTATAGTGACTTTCTTATCCTAATTCAATATAGAATTCATTTCGAATAAGGGGCTTTGCAACCGCTGAAAACAACTTGAGTATAAAAGTCACCTTCACGATTTTGTTGACCGATACAATTTGTCTGTGTCTCAACTAACTAGCTACATGTTTTCGTAATTGTAGATTTTTAAATACCAGAATGATCGTCTTATCTGTAATTTTAACTCTCAATGCTATTGATGCATTTAAGCGACGTACGCTTACCCTGTCGACACACCTAGTGTTTCACCTATTGGAGTTCATGCGACTCCCTCAGTTTTTGTGTGTTACCTTAATTTGTCTTCTTACGCGACATTTGAACATCGTTCAACTACCGTTGCCTTGATTTCGTCATAATAAGGATTCATCGATTATTACATATATATATGCATGTTTATTATTAGTTAAAGATGTTCATACTAAGCATATTCAGGAGTCTTCTATTAGGAAATGAATTCAACCAACCGTATAGATAGTGTAGGAAATCACTTTATTCTATACATCCAACCGTAAATGAAACGAGAATTGGACGGGATTTTATTAAAAGTTACAAAATTATTGTGCAAAACGTTTGGGCATTCTGCAAATCTTCACCGTTTTAGAAATAATCTTTAACTCTTACAATTAAAGAGGAATAAAATCATCTTTAAATGTCAACTGTTCTGAATAAACAAGTGTTACAAGTACCACTATTTCATCTATGCATATGTTGGCAAAGGCGAGTTCAATCGTATATAAATAAATATATATATATGTAGGACTCTGAGATGTGATTGGGACGCTGAAATGCGATGGTCACGCTGATGTGCAATGGTCTATATGACGCGTGATTGCTAGTTAAATTACTCCCTCTTGCTGCCGCTAATTTAAAATGGTTACATTTTGTGTGCAAGAAAATACAGCAGCTGCACGTCTGTGACGTGACATGGGTTAGAATCTGCTGATGTGCAATTATCATGAAAAGTCGATTTTTTTATACGTCAATTATTATAGATTTGCATTCATTTTTGTTCATAAAACATTTATGGCATTTCGGTATCTGTGATATGTTTGTGTATGGTTGAAATAGAAAAAAATCGGTTAAAGATTTATCATACTGGAATATGCCTGTTTGTCGTACAAATTGGTATTATGTGATAATCGTATACTGTTCGAATATCATCATTAAGTACCCTGCTTATATTATAGTTTCATCTTTACCTTTTTAATGTATATTTCTTTAAACGGTGTTTGCAACATTTGAAATAAAAAAAATTATTTCCTATTATGTATTTCCTTGGTTACAAATTCATACTAAATGAGAGATTGTCCTATTTGATTTTACTGATTACCTTCGATGATTTACTTAAAAACATGAAAAGCTGCTTCTAGTAAACAAATTGAAGCCTTCATCGACATGTGAACGTGAAAATCATTAAAACTCAAGTTTATGTAACCCATCACACTTCAGCGTTACCATCAACGCACTTCGGCGTCGCTATCAACAAGATAGCATCACAATGCCACCATCGTACTTCAGCGTGATCAAAAACGCACTTCAGCGTCAAGCCATCGTACTTCAGCGTCAAGCCATCGCACTTCGGCGTGACCATATCGCGGTAGGGAGTACCATCGCGGTTCATGATCCTACACATCCATATATTCCTGTTATGCATGCATTACATGTCATGCGAATCCACATTAAGTCAAAATATAATAATACGAAATTAAAGAAAACCGGTAAGTTTACAAATCAAGAAACGATTCTGATATCTAAACAAACGTCAATAAAAACGGTGCAAAGAATGTATATTGCAAAATTTATAATTTGCAAAGACTGCATTTCACATCAAATAATTGCAATTTGTTAGAATAATGTCAAGAGTGCTTTAGCCTTATGGGAACTCTAGCCGACGATTTAATAATGTACTTGACAACAGTGCTGTTGGTAACGTTCATGACGTTACAATAGTAGTAAGGGGAGATAAATCCAACGTGTTCACGTAGATTCGATTAATTTAGGTTGAAAGACCCTTATGAAAGAGAGACAGACAGACAAATAACGGTACATAAAACACAACATAGAAAACGAACGACTGAGCAACACGAACCCCACTAAAAACTGGGGGTGATCTCAGGTGCTCCGGAAGGGTAAGCAGATCCTGCTCCACATGTGGCACCCGTCGTGTTGCTCATGTTAGTACAAACCCGGTGATAAGTCCAATTCGGTAGGTCACCTTCGGTGAAAAGGGGACGGGACTGTAATTACGACAATTGGAACATATCCGTTGTCATCTGTGAAATGGATATTCCATAACGGTCAACCAACTCGTGATGGCGTCCGTAAAATTTACGAAGTGATGATTTCAACTTCACCATTTGGAACTCTTGGTTTAATATCTTCCTTGTAAGCAGCAACCCTCTATAAAGGAAATCATGAAAGGAAATACTAGCCCTCGAATTTCGTATCATTTGGGAGATATATACTCGGTATGCAGGTGCGGCTGGAATATTGCTACATAGAAATGGAAAGTTCATTATTGGGAAGCTGAAATCATCTTTTTTGAGATGTGCTTCCTTTGTCAGTTTTTTTATTGATAAGAGTTTATTTTAAAATTCTTTTAGACGTGCATTCGAGTCTCACAACTTTGGAAACCAAAAACTTCAAACTGTTGAAATTTCATGTGTGTAAAAATACCAAACCACAAGGTTATATTTAATTTAAGCGAGTATCTAGGTACTAGTTACCAAGTAAATGGTACACTAGAGAATGCCAATACACTAGCAGCGGCATTGAAATAGTGCTGGTGGTATATGAACCTTAAATGTCGATTGCAGTTTTAAAAAAGACATCTCAGGGAATAATGTTAAACTAAGAAGCTAATTGTTGCCAGGCAAATTATATTACATTTCATTCGATTTGAAATATGTAAAATAACAAGCATATATTAAGGCTTACCATTTCTATTGGTGTGCGGATATCATATGTATCAAAATGATTAACTAGATGTAAGGTTTCATATTCTTGCAAATAGTACCAAATTCCTATATAACATTCATTTATTAAATAATATATATGACATACTACATAAAGTACCTATGTGTAATTCGATAGCCTTACCCGTATTATTTTTATGACCAAATTAACGCAAGTAGCCAATTGTCACACGTTATATTCTTGATTAAAATATAATGAAGCTAATATCTGATTTTGTTTTTATAATTCATTGAATGTCTACACCTTTTTATCAAAATTATATTTCTATTACTGAAAGCACATCCTTCTTTATCCTGCCAAATGTGCAAAACAACAAAACATTGATTCAACAAAATGATTCCTTCCATTTAGGTTTTTTTTTATTTCATATTTTTACAAAGCTATGCCTAAATGTATGAAAGATGTGGTAGTTAATATTCATTTATTGGTATGATGTTAACTAGTAAACATAAATCTACAAAGCATAAAGACAGTATTGTCAGCTTAAACACATGTATAACTTCACTCATTTACATTATTGAAATTCATAAGCATTTATCTTTCAGATCTCGATTTTCAATAGGATTGATGTGTGGAATTTTTGTCCTCCAAGTGGTTCTATTTAAGGAGTTTACAATCAATTCGAACATGATAATTAATGTTCCTGCATTAGAAAAAGTAGTTTTTGAAATTCAATCCAATGTCAGTTCGAATATCAAACCGTTGAATATGTTTGATGAGACATATATCTACAAAATAAATCCTGCCGAATCACTTTGTGATGATTATAATTGTGGTTCCTTGCAATTAATCATAATTGTAAAATCATATGTGTTTAACTTTGGTCAACGTGAAGCTATACGTAGGACATGGGGAGGCACGACGAAACTTCGATCCAAAATTGTATTTATCGTCGGATACCTTGACGGCATGGACACATTAGTCGGACATGAGTCAAAACATAATAGGGATGTTATTCAGCTAAACATAGCAGATCAGTATGAAAATGAAGTTTATAAAACAATTTATTCTCTCTTATGGTTAATTCGCGTCAATATTAAAGCTGAGTTTGTCCATTTTGTAAATGACGACCGCTTAGTTAATCCAATGAACATTTACACTGTTGCAACTAACAACATTTATTCAACAGATTCACTTATGTTAGGATACAGATTGTCTTTTTCGAAAGCAAGAAGAGATAACAGTTCTAAACGTTACATTTCGCCCGAAGATTATCCTTTTGTTTTTTTCCCACCATACATAGTTGGAGGAACTATCTTAACAAATATCAAAACTATTCAAATATTAGCCATTGCAGTAGCATTTATAAAGGTTATTCCAGTAGATGATGCATATATTGGGATAGTAGCAAAAGCAGCCAATATCAAATTGAAACATCATAGCGGGTTTTTACCATTTAAAAAGTCGCTTTCTGTACTTAGGAACGCAGTTTCCTCCCCTGGTTATGAAACAACCTACATTTTACTACGAGACTGGAATTTGATTAAAAGTGCATAAGGGCAATGAACAAGTTATCATGTAAATGATATAGTACAGATGTGCATACCTTAGTCCTTATTTAAAAAGTACACTGCAATCATGTTTTTATACAATATCTAATAACGTTTTTTTTTTTTTTTTTTATCAATTGCACCTTTTTTCAGAGTAAAGTAATTTTCTAATACTATTTGTTGTTGTTGTATGTGCTTACATTTAACTTTAATTAGTCAACTAATCGAGCACGTAGAGGGTTGATACCTAAAATAATCTTTTATCCCTGCCCCATTTATATATGCCTGTCCGAAGTTGGGAAGGTTTTTTTCTGTTTTATTTTGTTATCCTTGTTCTATAGAGAATTTGGTATGTATTACAGATTTTTGATAGTTCTGTGAATTTAGTTACACCTGTTGAAGACTTGCGTCAATTTAGAGCTTGACACATTGATTAAATCTCATTTTTTATATCATTAGAATTATAATTACATGTATTAATTTTTCGTTTAATGATATACGCAATAGAATTAACCTTTATTCATATGTGATACTACAAATCAATTTACAGAAGAATTATAAAGTTTAATCGCCCAGGTGTGTGTATATTTTCATAAAAAGGAAGTGTTTATCATTAAAGGGGCATTAGCTGTCAAATTCATGTTCTACGATTTGACTCAAATTCTCATATTTGATTTATAACATACTAAAACGTATATCCAAATAACAAAAAGTCTAAGAATAAACAATTAACAATGCATGGTCTCAATAATATGTATCAACATTTCGTGTGTATTTTAGTCTAGACGTCATCTAATTAACAACCGAGATGACCTCCGAAGACTGCCGACGGTCATATAACCGGATATAAACATAAATATAAATAGATAGCGTCCACGTGCAATTGGATTTTTCTAGATCTGTTTGATTTCATATTGTAGGTTAAAAAGTATGTTTATCATCGTTTTTACCTGTATAAGAATGATTTTTTTGTGGATCGAATCAGTCAACCAAATGGTTCATCCTTGTTTCACTTTCAATGTTGACATTCTTTTCCTATTAATAGCTAAATACATGCGCAACCAATCTCCAACTAAGCGGTTAAATTGAAGGTCACATGAATACGCATTCAAAGAGATGGAATTATTCACTTGCAAGTAAATAATTCATTAGCGATGTTTCTTAGCTTATTTTGATAAAATTGAACCAAATTGGCTACTAAAAACGAATTATTATATCACTATTTCACTTTCATTAATGATTGAACAAAAAAAATCGTAGCTAATGCCCCTTAAACATATAAACAAGGCAACTCTTAAACGTTAGTTGATCACTTTAACATTTAGCATATGTGTTCCTTTAGTTATGATGTTTAACGCAATTAATATTTTCGAAAGAAAACATTTTCACAAATTAACATCGTAATTTGCGTTTGGGGATTCAACTGTTTATCAGATATTTTACTGAACTTACCATTGGGAAATGTTAATGTTGAACAAAGAAAAAAAACGATAAGGTAAATATAGTTTTTGGAATGAACCAGGTTCTCAAAATTGGAGTTCTAATTTCTTCCTTAATTGTAAATTATTACAATTACCATTGAAACCATGGTTGTAGAATGAGAACAAAAGAAGATCAAGTTAATGATCCACATTAGTTTTATGCATTCATACGACAACTTCATTATATAACTACATATTCTAACCTTTTTTCAATGATATATTTTTTTCATATTAAGCACAGATATCAGTCTATTATCTGTTCTGACACTTATCTTTAAAATTTCCTCTTTTCATGCAAAATATTAAAATTATCTGAATATATGTTATAAATGGTATGACAATGTCCTTGTGTGTGTTGATCTTCAAATGAACAGTGCATAGTCTTTTTCTCTGGTTAATTTTTTTGTCGATTTCAGTGTGTGACAAACTGTTATAACATTATTGCTCTCAAATCATCTTTATGCTAAAAGCAATTATTGTAATCAATTATTTGCAATCTACACAATTATTGGTATTTATGTTATGATACAAATATTAGCCAGCTTTAAATCCAGGTTTAACCCACCAGTTTCTTCGAAAAATGCCTGTAGCAAGTCAGGAATATGAGTTGTTTTCCACTAGTTCAGTTGGTTGATTACGTTTGATTTTGTCAGTTTTTATAGACTTTCCCTTTTTGAATTTACCTTGGAGCTCGATATTTTTTTAATACTTTTTTATCCAATGAAATAAAATCATAAGGTAACAATTTTGCATGTGCAATCCGAGGAATCGGAAGAGCTATGTTCAAAATATACTTAGGGAAAAAGTAAAACAACAAATATACCGAACTCCAAGGAAAATCCAAAACGGAAAGTCCCTCACCAAATGGAAAAATCAAAAGCTAAAACGAATCAAACGAAAGGAAAACAACTGTCATATTCCTGACTTGGTACAGGCATTTCCTTATTTAACAAAATGTGGATCAAACCCGGCTTCATAGCCAGCCAAACTTCTCACTTGTATGACATTCGCATATAATTTCATTATATTGTCAACAATGTGTGAACAAAACAAACAGACATAATAGGTAAAAATGTCAAAAATAGGGGTACAGCAGTCAACATTGTGTTATAATCTTAATCACTAAAAAAACAAACAAATATGTCAACAAAGAAAAACAAAATGGCATATAGACAAAGCACATAAGCGAAAAAGAAAGATAAGAATACAAAAAATGATCATAGCACAATAACACAATGGCGGGATGTATAAGTACCGAGCCACGTCAAAAGGATATTACCAAAAATAGACTAAACAGTAAAGGTTAATAATTTAGAAGGACAAATAAAAGAACACTATAACACGTAATTAAGATGATTAACAACGTCAGTACCTAGAATCTATACTTCAAGTCCATCATGTATTATTTGTGAAGTTGATACGGAATATTTATCAATAAGGTCTTGGTATCTTCCGATGAACTTTTTTAGAAAAAAAACAACTATTTAAATCTGAAGGGGGGTATGGTTTTGTCTAAAAATATTCTAAATCCCAACTTTAAAAAAAAGATTATTTTGATCAAAATGTACAAAACAATCTGTTTGAGAGTTTTTGCCATTTTTATATTAACTTCTAAAGAATGTTTGCGCGCTTTGATTAACAATAACAGATAAATAATTTGATGCTTGCGTCAAACAAACAAAAATGCTCTAGTATATATATCTTTGTGTAACCTGTACATAAGTAAACTTTGAACAGACTTGTTGGCTGCTTTCAAAGTCAATTCAATATAATTGAAGCAGGCTAGCAAGTTTACTTAATCTGCGTCAGATAAAACCTACGACTGCTTCTTTAGTACTATTCAAGTCTTGTTAACATGTCTGCTCTAAATGATGCACTTTTGAAAATTTAGACAATGGAATTCCCCATAGCAACTCCTTTTACGGCAAAAACTGTGCCACTTTTACTATGAAGTTTCGTAAAAAATTATATAGATCACATGCAGTACTGTGATGTTGTTGTTTAGCACAAAAGGGCTAGGTAACAACCAGTCAGAACGAACGAAGGATGCATAATTATATTGTTAAGCACAATAGAACTTTAGGGACTGACAAAATCAAATGTTATCAAACAATGGAACGAGTGAAAAACAACTGTCACATTCCTGACTTGGTACAGGCATTTTCAGAAGAAAATAGGGGGTTAAACCTGGTAGCTCGCATAACCTCCCACTTGTATGACAGTTGTTTATAGTTTCGTTATATTGACAAAATTGAGTGAGCAACCTAAACAGATATAATAGGTGACAGCAGCAAAGTTAGATGCTATCATTTAGCGCAACATGGTTAGAAAGCATCCGTTCAGAACAAACAGCTGCAAAGTTAGATCCTATTGTTTAACACAATAGGATTAGATGGCAACCAATCAGGATAAACAAAAATGCAAATAGAAGATATTTGCTAGACAAAATGGTTTCAAAAATAACAGTTATATAAGACAGTCAACCTGTCAGGACAAACAACTGTTGCAAATTGGTTGTACTGGCTAGCACAATAAGTTTCGAACAAAACAGTAATATAAGACAGACAATCAGTCAGGACATATGTCAAATGCCAAGTGATGCTACTGTTTATCACAATAGAGTTTCAGGTACAACACTTATATACGATGGACAACTATTCACGACAGAAAATGGATATTATTACATAGCACAATAAGGTTTTCAAGATAACAGTCATATAATACTGACTATCATTCAGGACATATATCGGCTGCAAAGTAATGATTCTGTTGAGCATTGATTTTGTTGAGCACATTAGGGATTCTGGAGCATAATAGTTATCAAAGGTACCAGGATTATAATTTAATACGCCAAACGCGCGTTTCGTCTACATAAGACTCATCAGTGACGCTCAAATTAAAATAGTTATAATGCCAAACAAGTACAAAGTTGAAGAGCATTGAGGACCCAAAATTCCAAAAAGTTGTGCCAAAAAAGGCTAAGGTTATCTATTCCCGGGATAAGAAAATCCTTAGTTTTTCGAACAATTTAAAGTTTTGTAACAGGAAATTTATAAAAATGACCATATAATTGATATTCATGTCAACACCGAAGTGCTGACTACTGGGCTGGTGATACCCTCGGGGACGAAACGTCAACCAGCAGTGGCATCGACCCAGTGGTGTAAATAGTTATCAAAGGTATCAGGATTATAATTTAATACGCCAGACGCGCGTTTCGTCTACATAAGACTCATCAGTGACGCTCAAATCAAAATAGTTATAATGCCAAACAAGTACAAAGTTGAAGAGCATTGAGGACCCAAAATTCTAAAAAGTTGTGCCAAAAAAGGCTAAGGTTATCTATTCCTGGGATAAGAAAATCCTTAGTTTTTCGAAAAATTTTAAGTTTTGTAACAGGAAATTTATAAAAATGACCATATAATTGATATTCATGTCAACACCAAAGTGCTGACTACTGGGCTGGTGATACCCTCGGGGACGAAATGTCAACCAGCAGTGGCATCGACCCAGTGGTGTAAATAGTTATCAAAGGTACCAGGATTATAATTTAATACGCCAGACGCGCGTTTCGTCTACATAAGACTCATCAGTGACGCTCAAATCAAAATTGTTATAATGCCAAACAAGTACAAAGTTGAAGAGCATTGAGGACCCAAAATTCCAAAAAGTTGTGCCAAAAAAGGCTAAGGTTA